TTCATGCACAGTTCAGACACCTGTTCTTCCAGGTCATTCCCTAATGTCTTCACTGCTACATTAATGCAGATTATATGGAATGACTATTTACAACAGCATTTCTCAAACTTGGTAACTTTGAGACAGGTGGACTTCAACTCCCAGAATCCCCCAGCCCACATGCTAGCTGGGGAATTCTGGGAGTTGAAGTCCACCTGTCTTAAAGTTACCAAGTTTGAGAAATGCTGTTGTAAATAGTCATTCCATATAATCTGCATTAATGTAGCAGTGAAGACATTAGGGAATGACCTGGAAGAACAGGTGTCTGAACTGTGCATGAAGATTATAGCTGATGACTCTCTAGTACAAGTTACCATTGCATTCTGTGGGCCTGGGAATCTGATGAGCAATAGTGCGTCAACTCTGTATTTAGAGAACAGTTGCTATCCAGCTGTGTACAGATGCTGGAACAAATAGATTTCTGTTTTAGCTGTACCCTAGAAGAACACAACAAATAATCTGATGTGAACAGCGTAGTTCTCTGTAGCAGACTTGGCTGCAGCCTGCTGAAGATAGTTTCAGTCATGCCTGGTGCATGAAACAATTCCTTTTAATATGCTTTGTTCTGCACATAGAGTTCTGCATATATGCTTTTGCCTTAGAAGCTAAGATCTTTTGACTGGCTTTTCAGCTCCAGTGTGAGCTTGAACACTTGGGAATGATAGTTTCCTAGTATGGGTAGATATGCCATCTCTAGGAGATGGGAGATAAATGGATTTAAATCCATCAGTGTCCTAGAGTCAGACTTTCTCCAACCTCACAGGACTGCTATGATTAAACATTGGGAGAACCATGTGTGTCACCCTGAGGAACACATCAATACTTGACAGAAGGTTGGATATGGTGGGCAAGTGACAGGAAGAATCTTTCTGGATCTCTTAAGTTGAATGTTTGATGTTCTTGTGTCTTTTTCTCAGGCCTGATGAAAGCCGCCAAGAGCTGACCAGCCCATGGACTGCCGTCTGGGTGAAGATTTCATCCAGCTGGGTTGGACTTCTCCTTTATGCCTGGACTTTGATTGCCCCACTTGCCCTTCCAAACCGTGACTTCAACTGAAACTTCTCAAGAGTGTCTTACTTCCCAAGTGGAAGAGTTACACAGTGCCATGAAAAATAAGCAAGCAAGATCACTACATTCAGACAAATCTACCACTTTTGTGCCTTTGTTTGTTAAAAATGCCTAAGAAGAACTGTTAAGCTGGTTTAATCCACTTATGTGTGTGAGACTTGACACACATTTGTGGTGGAGGATGTGTGCACAGCTTCTTTTCCTTACGCTAATGGCCTTCCAAGTATGTTGTGAAGTATCTGAGGAACTTACATGATGTCGCCTTTCTTCTTTAAAAAGATATTTGGCATAGGAATAACTCTATGTGTTCTTTTTTAAGTAGTGGTTTAAAGGAATTCTTCACCACTTTGCCTTGTTACATGAAGCCTTTTAAATAAATCTCAGTTCTTTTTGATATGGAACTTGATGGTTAGTCAAATAAAAACGCTTCAGTTAAGTAGATGAATGTTGAGCATAGAAACAGACCATCATTGTAACAGTGGCTGGGTTAGTTTGGTTTAGGATGGCCTTCTGAAAACAAAGTACAGGGAATCCCCGGGTTAAGAACGCCTGGGTTACAGATGACCCATGGTTAGTATGGAGCCTATTGTAGCAAAATTCAAGTTAAATACACAGTGATTCGAGTTAAATACACAACGGTTTGAGTTCATTACACAATACTAATTATACAATATTATACAATAATACTGTTCCGGCTTACATATAAATTCGACTTAAGGACAGACCTTGGGAATGGAACTCGTTCTTAAACTGGGGACTACCTGTAATTTTTAATAAGGTGACACTTGGAGAGGATTCAGCTCTAACTTTGCAGTGTGTTTTCTGTTTGGAGGAGGGGTTCATGGAAAAGTTTCCAGAATAGGTGGCACTTGATGCAAAATGGGAATTAAACATCCAGACTTGCTGGGAAGAAAGCAGAGAGCCATTTGAAGCAATAATAGTTTGTATCTTGTTTTAAGTCCTGATGTGGTTTGATTTTAATATAGCATCCTATCCCAGCCCAGTCAATTATGGTTTATTTAGTATGCCATGGTTAAATCATGGTGTAGCACACTCTGGGAAAAGGGTCTCATTCCGGCATTTAAGTCACAGAGATGCATGAGAAATTATTGTGGTCTTGTGGCATGAAATTCCACATTGAATGCACTAGAAAAATCACATCACCCTACTAGAGAATATTTTAGGCTCTGTCTCTCTCTCAGTGGTGATCAATCAGAATGACAAACAAATGTTGTCATTTTCTGACCAATGCGTTTTATTCAAAGGCGTAAACTTTCGTGAGTTGCAGCTTATGCCTTTGAATAAAATGCGTTAGTTGGAAAAGGTGCCAGCAGACCCCTTCCGAATTTTTGCTTCCATAGGTTGACGCTGCTCTCCTTCTACAATGTTTGCAGTTGTAATCGAGAAGTAGTGTGGAGCAGGGCTGAAACATGTCTAACCAAAGCTTTCTTTTTTCTAGCATCCAACAGAGGGCAGTGCTTTTTGCTTAACTTGTTTAACAATACAGTAGAACAGTGTTTCTCAACCTTGGCAGCTTCTAGATGGGTGGACTTCAACTCCCAGAATTCCCCAGCCAGCCTTGCTGGGAAATTTCTCCTGCGTTTTGTTCCCTGCTCCCATTTTACATACAAGCAATGAGTCTCTTCTTCCTCCTTCTCTTCCTAAGGAGAAGAGTAAAATACTCTGGGATGGTACATGGAGTTAAATTCCAAAGGAGGCAGCCCAGTTTCTCCTTCTCAGGAAAACTGGAGAGTGATGGAGAAGTAGAAACATAGACGATGAGAGAATTTGCAACCCTCTAGCAAGGATCGTGATAATTCAGCTGAGCTTAATCCCACAGTGGCTGGGTTTATAGATTGTGTTAAAAAGAAGCAAGCTGCATTTTGATTGAGTGCAACTTCTTGAGCCAGCCAGTGAAAGACTTTTCATCCCAGTGGCATTCGGGGTGAAAAAAGTAAAAATGACGATGGTGATGATGGTAACCATGTTACCATCTCCTTTGTGTGTGTGTCACAATGCACATAAAAAGGGAGCTTCGATAGAATGGTTGTTTCCACCATCTTGACTGCTTGACCTCCCTTGCGGAGGCCCCTCTTTCGTCCTTTTTAATACTACTTAAAGTGATGCATGCCCACGGATAACCAAGCTAGACATACACAGAGCGTGAATTCCATTAGTAAGCAGTGTTTTAATAAATTCCTTTTTTAGTTTGCTTGTCCTGAATCTACTACCACCCCATTTTTTGGAGGACCCCGAATTCTGCAGATTAGTTGGGGTCTTACCAGAAGTCTCCTGCTTTTAGCTGGAGCAGAATGCGGTTATCCAGATCTAAAAAGGAAAAGGTCACCAGAAGCACTTTCCGCTGACATCTTGTACCTTGATCATTCTAAATGTATTTCAAAATTATGGCCTGGGATCAACCTCTCAATTGCCCCTCCACACACCCCCTCCTCAGAGCTAAATAAATCAACCAGTCCAAGAATAAGGTAGGAAACAACAATTGCCTTTTTTTAGTAGGAAGAAAACATGGGAAAATTTGGGAAACAGATAAATGCACGGTACTGTTGAAAATAGTATAGAAGGAAAAACTAACCACCTCTTCTCTACCCTTTGCTGACTTAGGCTGTTTGGCTCCTTCACAGCTATTTGAAACAAGAATGTCAGGTTTTAATTGCATTCACATTTAGTTTGATATAATTCCTGTGTTCATGTATCACTCTAAGCCACAATGTGTTTGGTGCTGGCTTAGAACAATGCGTGAATTAGGGCTACTGTCTGGGCTGCAAGAATCCCAGATGGCCACTAGGTGGCAGTTAAGAGCTGCAGAAAACCTCTGGATTTGTGCAGCCCAGTTCTTGTAACCCTACTGTGAGCCCAACTATTGTGGATTATAAACTGTAGTTTATGGCTTAGCACACTGAAATAACTCAGCCAAGAGTGGTGTATTCAATAGATCATGGTTTAGCAAATCAGGCCTTAGTATGATGTGTGAGCACAGTGTTAACAGTTCACATCTACCAGCGTGTCTTATTTGCTGCTTGTTCATTGATTTTTTTTTAACGTGCAGCTGTTCTACAGGCCCAGGCCCAAACCATCAGGTATGATCCTAGACAATTAAACTACTCAGTAAATAAAGTACTCAATGATTAAAGCAGATCCCAGTCAAAGAACAAATGCAGCAGCTCAGATAGTTAAAACCAGATTAACATTAACTCCTTCTCCTTCTCCTAGGCATTTTAATCAGTCAATATCATTGTCTGGCAATGAAAAGATAATGAAGAAGGCACCACGGGAGAGGTGTTCTAGAGTTGGGGGGAGGTCCATTTGTGGGCAGTCACTTGCCACCCTTTGGACTCAGAAGGCCCTTGGAGCGGAGCCTCTGCGTGCTCCCATCTTGCTGGAGAGACCACCTTTCCCTGCCTGCTCAGGAAGTGAGCCCTGGGCATTATCTTCCATTCCTCTTGCCTCTTCCATGTGGAGATGCTGCTTAGGAGAATTAAAGTGCTCCCAGGTTGATGACTTCTGGGATGGCATGTTATGATGTGTTCTTCCTGATTTGGAGGCTGTGTCAAAGATACTAAGTGGATTATTGCTTTTACAGCACTTTCAAGGAGGCAGCCTGGATGACTTCATGGGTATTAGCTGCTAACTAGATTTCCTCTCTTCCTCCCTTCCTTTTTTTTCAAAGACAATGACAACAAGACAACCACAAAATGGAGGAGAAGGAGGATTAAGATTCTAGTAAAAGATTCAAATCGCACCTCACAAACCAGGGCAGATTCATTTCCTGACCCCTTCCCGCATTTTGTTTTGTTTTCTTCAACAGCTGGCCAGCACATGGCGAGTTACTATAGTGGTGGGTTTTTTTTGTTTTTTTTTTGGAGGGGGAAATAATGAATTGCTTTTTGCACCTTAAATTTTAGATTTCCAGTCCTTAGACTTCAGATTGTGCTTAATCCAGGCCACATGTGGTTCTCCAGGGTGGTCATTTGGGCTACTTCCTGTAATTCAGAGGGCAGTTGAAATTCAGTGGCAAATCTCCCATTAGCCACAGTAAGATGTTCTGTTTTTGAATTGCTGGGATCATCTCTCTTAAGCCATGGTTTGTTTCATCAATGGTTGCTGTCCACACCATTTATTTTTTCTGTGACACCAAGTGTTTTGTTTTGTGACTCTGCTTGGTATCATTTTTTTCCAAGGACCTTCAGGGTTTTAAAGAAAAAAAGGCAACATCTTGAACTGGTGTAGATCAAGCAATATTAGAGTGTCATGCCAACTCAAGAAATGGCATTTTGAAACATTGGGAATCAACATAAAACACATCTCTGTAATCCAATTCTAGAATTACTGAATAAGAGACTCCTTCATGGAGAACTTCAGGGTCATGGAATCCTCAGCCAGGATCCCCAAGCCAACCTTCCCCAACTTGATGCCTTCAGATCTGTTGGAGTTCAACCTCCCGAACCCCTATTGGGCATGGCCAGTATAGATTAGGTTATATTGATATCCAAACCCATCTGGAGGGGACCAGGTTGGGGACAGACTGCAGGTCTCCATCTGATGTTCTTAGTTACTTTGCAGGAAATAAAAATGGTACAGTGGTTAAGAGAGCCAGGATGGTGTCGTGGTCGGGATGCTGGATGGACACTGGGAAAAGCACCCTCAGCATGGAAAATCATTGGGTGACTTTGGGCCAGTTGCTATCTCTCAGCCCAGCTTATCTCACAGGGAAGTTGTTGAGCTAAAATTAGGGAAGACCTTCATGCAAACCGTCCTGAGTTCTCAGAGAACAGTTGAAATAGAAATGCCATGAATAAATAATAGTGCTCTTTGGGTGAAGGGATCCATGTAAATCCTGAAGTGCTGATAAGGTCCCAAGCACACTTGCCTTTGGCCCCAGCTTTTTATTAAAAAAAAAAAAAAAAAAAAGGCCTGAATTTCTGTGAAAAGGTCCGCTTTTCTTTCAAGTAACTTTTTTCTGGTGATAAAAGTTTTTATTGGTGGACTTTGTAAAAAAAAAATAAAAAATTCCCCAAATGTTGGCATATTATCTTTGAAAACGAGTTCTTGTCTTCAAAGATTGTTATGGCCAGGCACAGGAGGAAAAATATGTTGAGTGTCCTCTCTCCAAAATAGGAAAATTTACTTTTCTAAAAGATTAGAGCCATGACTTGGAACTGGAGCATCAGTACAGAAAGTCACAGGGTTTTTATTTTATTTTTTTAGTTTCTTTTTGGCTGGAAGCATCGCATTTGTTAATTAATTAAACCTGGATTATGTCCCTAATCTGATTGGTGGCATAAGTATGGGTCAATCTATTATGTTTTCTTTCTTTCTTTCTCTCTCCCTCCCTCTCTCTCTCCCTCTTTTTGCTCAGTCAGGGCCATCCTTTA